TTATAGTATCAGTCGAGACATGTTTTTGATGGGCAAAATGTGGACATTTGATGAAGTTATTTAAGTCGCAATGACCAGAATGCTGAAATAGGGTATCCACAAAATGTAGAGCTAAGGAAACCCCAAAGAGGTTACTTTAACCTAACTGTACTAACCAAATGCCCCTTAGGCTGAGTATCTCTCTTTCTATGTGGATAGAATTTAAGTAAGTGAGCATATGTATTTAAAGGAAAAAAGCCACAAAGGTTTCTCTGAGTGTAGAATGAACTGCTGCATGGTTGCTAGCAGCATGTCACGTCTCTGCTCTTTTAAAGCCATTTCTGTTTGAGGGACTGGTGACTAGAGCGGTGGAATAACCAAGTTTTTTGCTGATCACACTGAAAAAAAATCAGATTTTTTTTCTAACCTTTTAAAGAAATTAAATTCAAAATTCAAAACACAAAGTTGTTTCAAACTGAAACACGTTTTGTTTCACTATTTTTGAAAACTGAACATTTCAGTTGGGGGCTGTGTGTGTGAATTTTTTTTTGTTTGTTTTTGACAGAAACAATTTGATAACAAATTTGCAAGTGACCAGACTCTGCATTTTTTGATAAAAAAACATTTTGGCTGGAAATGTTCACCCCTTTCTAGCTGGCTAGTGTCTAAATATCAGTGCTGCCTTCTGGATGGAACATCAAGTCTGCTCAAGTGTATGGCCCTAGTGACTGCAGTCCACAGAGAAGGGAATCTCTATTACTAGCAGGGTTGGTGGTGATTGCCCTCTCGCTCAAGTCGCAGGATCCTTTGCTTATGGAGCACAAGTTACTGAGATGCATCCCTGATGTCATTTAATTGCAGCTGGTGACTTTGCTATCAGTTGTTTGTAGATTCTGAATGTCTATCAGTGATAATAAGTAATAAAATATATAATAATGAACCCTAACATCCTTTTTAACCACCGGCCAGTGCTTGGGTGATGGGGTCACAGCCCTGGACCCACCCTTTGGGGGTGTAGAACACCTCTGACCATGCTCACCTGCCACAAAATGCTAGCACAGAACTGGCTGTCCTCACCCTGGGAGTTCCCAGAGCCCTCCCTCAACCCCACCCACATCTAGAATCTAATCATCAGTAGACAGCAGGATAATACACGTTGTAAGGAGAGTGATCACTTTAGATAAGCTATTACCAGCAGGAGAGTAGTTGGGGGGGGGGGGGAGAAAACCTTTTGTAGTGATAAACACCCATTTTTTCATGGTTTGTGTGTATAAAAACATCTTCTGTATTTTCCACAGTATGCATCCGATGAAGTGAGCTGTAGCTCACGAAAGCTTATGCTCATGTAAATTGGTTAGTCTCTAAAATGCCACAAATACTCCTTTTCTTTTAGCAGGATTTGTATTTCCCATGACCAGGGCATCCCAAAGTGCTGAGTGCACAAGGCAATGGGCATTAGGTGAGAAATACGGGAGGGTAACCACAGTCACCATCCTGGACTTGTAGGGCCCTTTCCACTAGGACTAGTCTGGCTCTTAAAGAGAGTGGGTGCCATGTTCCTTTCTTAACAGGGAAATGCTGCCTGTGGATCCTTAGCCATGTGTGTCTGGTTTAACGTTAGCCGAAGCCGAATTACTTAAAGAAGAAATATGGACTTTAGTCTTCTTTTTTAAAAACAAATCTTTACAAAAATGGTTTTTAACTTTATACTGCACATTTTCTTGGGACTGTCCCAGACCCTGGAGTCCTTACTCAACCAAAACACCCTGCACTTGCAGGGGCGGAATCTGCCCTGGGTAAAGACCAGAGGAGTCAGCCCATCATATTTTTAACCACTAATACATTTTAGTAAGATCCAATTTTTTTCTCCCCCCCTTTGGAGCAACTGGTAAGTTCTGAAAAGCAGGAATGTTCTTGGGAGCAAACCCATCTTGAATCACATTCAGAACAAGAGTCAAACATTTCTTGAATAACCTAAACATGTGGTTGCAATCCCTGATGCTGGAGCTTTTAAGTATTGCCAACACATATCGTTCCCCTTCAGATGTTCTCGCAGAGCTTTAATAGGTGTCCACTGCATCCTATGGACAATGTCCAAATGAAGAACTGCTCCGTTTGCATCTGTTAATGATTGCTGTGGCAAACAGGCATTTGGCAAAGGTAACACCAATATGCAACCAAAGGTTGCTTTCCAGCAGCACTTACTAGGGTAATTGTCCAGGCCGCTATCATCTGTCAGACTCCATGGGCCTCAGACTAGTCCCAGTTAGGTCAATGGGAAGTTTTCCATTGACTGTAATGGAAGCAAGGTCAGGCCTTATATGTCCTCTGCCTGATAAAGGAAGTCAAAATACTTCCCATAAAATCCCCAAGGAATGTGTAGTTTTTGTGCAATAGTGCCGTTATAACTCTTGGAAGGCAATGGATGGGAAATCAGCTCAGGACCTAGTGCTGTAGAGGGAGGCAGCTTGCTCATGTAGAAAGCCTCCTAGGCACTGAGGGGGCAACATGCAGGGCAGTGGCTCTTGCCCCTCCTTTACAAAGATATAGACTGTGCCATATTCCTCCCCCAGTGCCGCCCTCCAACTGCTGATTGGTGCACAGAAGCCGAGGTTCCCCCTTGCCCCTGATTCGCTCCCTCTGGAGCTCTGGAGGCAGCACTGGCCAGCCTGCCCTACCATGCACTTGCCAGACAGATTAGGGTTGCTTCCTGTGTTGCTGTGCTGGTGTGGGAGGCGGCCCAGGGCTTCCCAGCTCGTGCAGCCATAATCCTGGCCCACGGTTTGCAGACAGCATCCTAATGTTCTGCAATGCAAAGGATGTGCCGCAGCTGCTAAGACCGTAGCAATTCCGGCCAACACATTCAGAGCAAATCCCAATGGATAGCAGTGACATAACCTTTGCGTATATTCCAATAGCTTTCTCTACAGAGCCTGATGTGCTGAGCTCGTCTGAAAGTTCTGGCCGAAATTTCTCGCTGTCTGGCTTCACTGGCACCACGAAATGAACGGCTGAATCCTTGGTACAGTCTGGAGTACGATACGCTACCGAGACACAAAGGGAGGCCTTGATGGGGCTTGTGCTGATGCTGGGGAAAGGACCGATGAAAGTATCACTTGATTATTCAAGTCCAATCCCCCCAGGACCGTAGCGTTTTAGCTGAACTTCAGAGAATTCTCTTTCTTGATGGCTCAGCTTTGATTTTCACTCTCAGAGTCGGTGATATTGAAACACGGCGTGACAGCATCTCATAGCACTTGATAATTACGTCTGGTTCTTCTTCAGGCTCTGACAGTCACATACTAAGAGAAAACCCAATCTGTTATTGTGCTTTTCTTTTGTTACCTTGCTCTCCTTCCTCCCTGCTGGTTCGTCTCATCCACCTGTTATGCCTTGTTGTTGAGGTTCTGATCCTGCAACTTCTTGGATGGAGGCTGACTGATTCTTGTATGTGGAGCCCTGTTGAAGCCAATGAGACTGAATGCAGGGGCTGCAGTCTGCGCCGGTAGAAGTTACAGGATCAGGGCCTTAGCTTATAAACTCTTTGGGGAAGGGACGGTCATTTACTGTACGTTTGTGCCGTGCCTAGCTCAACTGGACCCCAACATGGCTGAGGCCTCTAGACGTTACATAATAAAAATATTAGATAGTAACAGTAATCATTAATTAATAAAGAATGTAGAATATGAAAATAAGATCCAGGATGTGAGAAAAGCCACCACTTTAAGAGGAAAATGTCCCACTCAATCAATGACCAGTGAGCAGAGGCATCATTCTGCGTAGGAGCCAGACAGAAGTTGACATTTTTAAGAAGAGTACGCCTCTAACGGCTTCTTCTGCTCTTGAGAAGGAATGCAAGCAAATGGCACCTGCTCTTTGCAAAGTCAAGTCTCGGGGATGGATCCAGAGGCTTGCACTTTGGAAGGATGGAATGGAATGAATCAGGCTTATGCGTGTGGAAGCAGGAGCTGTAGTGAGAGATAGCCAGGAGGTGTCACTGTTACAATGCACTGCACCAAACCCGTCTCAGCTGGAGGATGACTTTATAGCTACTACAACCAGGGCTTTCTTCTTTTAGCCTAGTCTTTCTTCAGTTATTTAAATCCCTTGGTTACTCTGTCTTAGTTTTATAATGAAAGTGAACCTGGCAGGTATGTATGGCATTTTTTGATATAGTAAATATTGCTGGATTACAAATTCAGGGCTAGATTCTGATGACGTTACGCATGAGTTAGGTACCTTCCTCCTTGAATAATCCTATTGAAGTCACTCAGTTACTCATGGAGTAAAGTCCCATTCAGTGTGGGTAAGGCAGTACTTAATTTGTAATGAAAAAGATGCTGGGACTCAAGCAATTAGGGGTCAGGGTCAAGCAATTTTTTTTACATTCATAACTGACGCAGCAAGCCCAGAGGTGCTGGGGCTATGAACTGCCAAGCCTAAAGGTGCCGGGCTCAGCCCTGGCAAGCCCTGGCGCAAATTAGGCACTGGAGTCAGGGTATCACAATTTGGCCCTCAACAACTTAGGGCTGTTGTTTGATGTTCTTATTTGACTTCCTGACTACACAGGGAGAAACCTTTTTCCAGTTTGCTTGAGGAAGGATTAATAATCCTTCCTGTAAGGGAGGGAGTGCTGTCTAATGGTGAGAGCAGAGGCTCGCAAGTCAGGAAATTGAGGACTTTTGTTTCTGGCTCTGCTACTGACCTACTGTGTGACCTGGGATAAGTCACATAGCCTGTCTGTGCCTCAGTTACTCCATCTGTAAAATGAGGGACATAATACAGACCTGCTGTAGCTCACAAGGGGGCTGGCAAGGTGCTTTGAAATCCTCCCTTGGAAAGGGCTGAAGAGGCACAAAGTATTATTCTAATGGAATTGGATTGTTCACCTAAGTTCTGGCAGCCTTTCTGATACAAAAAATGAATGGCAAAGTTAGGGAAGTGAATCCCGTAGGTCTAAATCAGCGATCAGAACATGCCAGCAACACTTAATTTGCTTCTCAGCAGAATAGCTACAGCTCAGCGTTCATCTGACCTCATTTATTCTCTCGGAGGTTCCACAGGCCCAGCTGATGAACAAAGCATTGAGCTTGCCTCTGAGGAGCTCAGAAGCAATGTTTGCAGAACGGGAATGTTTTCAGACAGCAAAGCAGCAGTAACTTGGCGCTTCCAGTATTTCTGGCGGCATTGTTTTCAGAGCCGAACGCCTTGTCTTCTGCTCAGGGAAATCATAGGGCTTCAAAACTCCCAGTGCTCAGGATGTGAACTCCCATCAGTGCGATTTAAACTCAAAACCGTGGCTTTTAAGTCTCCAACTGCAGCTGGAAACGTTGAGCTACTGAGAGAAACAAGAAAGAGATTAAGGAATCAGTCCAGTCATCAGAAATGACGGGTATCCATCTAATTACATTGAGTGATGGAAAACAAAAACAATCCCCTAAGAATATTTACAGAGAGATTAAAAACAAGTAGTTAAACCTCTAGATAAAAATCATTCTCTCTAACTGTGGTAGTTACTTTAACTGGAAAATGCAATGAATGCAAGCCACCACGGTTAATGAATACAGCTGGACCAGGCATTGTACTGCTGTTGCAGAGTTGTATGTAAGCAGCTGAACTGCATCTCTCAACTTTGATCGGAGACTTTGAAGCCAAAAGAACAGCTTTAAATTCGAAACTTCTGTTGGAGTTCATACTTCAGTTGGGCAGAAAGCCAGGAAATGCAAAGACTTATGGCATTATGAGTCTCGTGTAGAGGAAAAGGCTGCAGGGAATAATTTAAGTTTGTTAGCTGTAAACAGAGAGATTGAAGTATCTGCCTTCTTTTCCTTTAAACCATCTTTTGGGGACGAGAATGGGGAATTTTAGTGCTCATAAATGTTATACCGATAGCATGGGCTAAAGTCAAAACATTGTGCTGGCAGATATAGTATGTTTCCAACACACGGCTGTGCCAAGGTGTCCCGCACCTGACCCTGCAACATTCCTACTCTTCTAGTCTTAGGTCTTTCCGATGAAGAAACTGACCAACCAGGCTGAATGCCAAAATGTCAAATAAGGACACTTGAAACCACTAAATGACCACCACTGAAGGCACCTGAAACCACCATGCTTTTCACCTGTGTTACCTAACCCGTCTTTGGACCAAATTCTCTAGAAAGGATACAGGGGTCTCTTTAACAACAGAATAATGGTACTAATGTGCATTTACACATTTTCATTTGAGGATCTCAGCATGCTTCACAAAGCCATGGCCAAGTGGTATTCCGATCTCAACATTGCCCATGGGGATGCTGAGTGACAGAGAGGTGAAGTGACTTGCCCTGGCTACTCAGCCAGCTGGTGTACAAAGCGTGGAGAAGAAACCAGTAGAACCTAGCAGCTTTGCATCTAATTACAGCAAAGGAATGGCAAACAAAACATCAGACATAATCAGGCTCTTGCCCAAATATGAAAGAAGGGACCTCAAACTGGAAACAACAACTGGGAGGCACAAATCAAACTGGGAACCCCAGAAAGAACAATCTGTGGTTGTAGCACAGGAGAGGTTGAAAGAATGAGACTAGCATGAATGAGCCCTATTGGATCAAGATGAATAGGAGGGCTTGTGTGAGTAAGCGCAACTCTTGTAAGTATGGGTTGCAGGATCAGCACTCTGTGTCAATACTCATTGTGAGCTACACCGGGAAGCAGATCATAGGTGGCTCCCCCTCTGGGCTGAATTTAGAAAAGAACATTGTTAACATTAAACACGGACAAATCTTTCCTAGTTTGAGACATGGAACTGGTATTTCCCTCCTTGGAAAATTGCTGCCTTCCCTCTGACCATCAGCTCGGATTGTCATTTACATCATATGAGAGGAGAGCCACCCATCGTGGTCTAAGGGACCTTCTCAAGTGATAGGTAGAGAGTTTTCACTACCAAAAACTCTGGGAATGGAAAGGAAAACTTCACTGCACTCTGCTCTGGCTTGGGAATCCTGACCCTAAGTGAGGAGGGATAATTTTCATTGGTCAATCTGAGGGAGGTGCCAAAAAGCTCTAAAGTGCTAATATACAAACCTTTTTGGTCATGACTCCCTTTGCCCAGCTGGGGAGCAACTCGGAAAAGTGGTGAAGATACTAGGTGGACTGGAAACATGGATTACATATCAAACAAAAGGTTGCACAATGTAAGGCCCCGATCCTGCAAAGACTTATGCACGCGCTGAACAGCACCAATGGAACCATTCGCAATGCGCAAGTTAAATACAGGCATACGTCTCTGCAGGATCAAAGCCTAGATACAGAAGACAGATTTTAAAGAAGGTTTTATAGGATTCTCCTCCAAAATAGTCAAACTATTTAAATGGTAAAAATATAGACAGATTAGATTGCACTAAATGTACTCCAGAGAAGAGCGACAAAATACTCAGTGAATCATCTAGAGTCACAAAGTATCTTTGCTATAGATAAGTCTATTTGTGTAGGAAGAGAAGTTCATTGAATTTACTCACATTCTCCCTTGGAACCTTTTTTCTTTTGAGCCTATTGGTACAGCTCAGTTGAGAAATTTAAAAATGATGGGCCTAATTCATCACACCACACAGCACATATAGGCTTAATTGGGATACTGGCTGGGATACGGCAGGCTCTGCAGTGCCAATCGTGGGGTTTGCATCTTTTTAGTGTATTCTCTTTGCAGTCCTAGGAGCAGCGCATGGATTTTCACCTTTGAGATAATAAATGATGCTGATGATTTGAGTTTAAGAGACACAAATGAGAAGGGAAACTTGCTGAGTGTCAGTCACCCCACAGCCCTAACCCCAACAGCAACAAAACCAGACCCACACAAAACCAGGCTAACCAAAAAATGCAAAGACTGAGATCTTGCCAAAACTAAAACACAGTCTCCTCTTCCCATCGCTACACATAATGCAAAGCCAGTAAACCCAGAGCAGCAGTGAACAGTCGGCACAAGGAAGAGTAGCTGGGTTGAATTTGCTAGCGAAAAAAATATCATAGGCTTGTTGTTAAGAAAGAAAGAGAACTAATTCTCTCTGTGTATTCCGATTCGTTTTGGTTTCTCGTGTGTGCCCTGAAAAAAAAGAGACAGAGAACATTCGAACCAAGAGGCATCACATTAACAGAGAAAACAGAACAACGTTATTTGCAAATGAAGATCATTTAGATTACAGACAAACCTTGTGCCGGTCACTGAACTGCGCGTGCACACACAGACAAAAAGTTGGCCTGGATGCACATCAACAAATTGAGGAAGGCGTTTTGACAAGACACTCAAGTGGAGAATGATATGGAAATAGAAGGGGGAACAGAGCAAAGAAACAGTATCACCGAACTGCAAGTGGGAGCAAATAATGATTTTGGCCCAGATCCTCAAAGGTAAATACTTAAATATCTTTGAGGATTTGGGCCTTTCTTCTTTCTTTCTTTGTTTAGGTTTATTAATAAGAGAAAGATACAGTTCTAGCTGTGAAATCATGTGTCTGAAAGTGGGTTGCTACTACAGTTGCATTTAAAAGTTGTCTCCTGGTCTACTAGATAATGAATTATTTGGTATCTTTGCTTTCACCTTAAGGGACTCTAATAAAATAAATAAATAATAATTAAGAATACCTAGCCCTTATATAGTGCTTTTCATCCATAGCTCTCCAAGTGCTTTAAAAAGGGAGTAAAGGTCATTAGCCCCATTTTACAGATTTACATTTTACAAACTCTGCACATTTGGGGAGAACAACAACAAAGAACAAAATCTTGCACTTACCGGCCAGCTGCAGCCACTGGCTTCTCTTTCTGGGAGAGGTGATGGGAAGCTCGGTGAAGGGACAACAGAAGTGCTTCTGTGCATGCACGGCACAACCCTGCATCTCTCGTTCCTGGGAATCGCCCCGCTGGTTTTAATGGGACTACACACACGAGTAAGGGCTGTGGAATCAGATCCTGGATGGTCACATAGCAAGAACTGTGGGTTAACAGGCTGTTTGGATGGAGAAGGTGGTGTCAAGACAGTGGTAGAAAGAAGCAGCTGGAGCATTGCATCCAGCACGCAAAGCAGTAGCAAGAGCCGGAGCAGCTGTATGGTCCGAAAGAGAAAAAATAGTTTCTTTCTTTGTACATTTGGTGCATTTTAAAATGTTCCCAGAGAGGGGCAGTAGAGACCAAACCCACAAACAAATGGAAAAATACTTCTTATTCACCAAAAAGAAAAGAAAGGAGGAGGGAAGAGAAAATTATTGTTTTATAATGGATTTTTCTTAAATGAAGGGAAGTCACATTTTGTGTCTAGAGAAGAACACTAGAGCTATAAAAAAGAAGGGCGAGGGCTCATATAATACATAAATAATCCCTAGCTCTTCTATAGCAATTGTCTCCCATAGATCTCAAAACACTTTACAGAGGAGGTCAGTATCATTACCCCCATTTTATAGATGGGGAAACTGAGGAACAGAATGGCCATGATTTGCCCATGGACACCCAGCAGGCCAGTGGCTGAGCTGGGAATAAAACCTGCAATGCATCATGGGGCTGAGTGGTGGGCAGCAGAGGATCTGTCAGCAGAAATGCAAATGTTGAGATGGATGAGCGGTGTAAGCAAGAAAAATGACAGAAGGCAAGTGTATGTTAGAGACACGCTCAATGGATCACCCACCAACGAAAAAAAGAGGGAATGCAGGCCCAGACGCTTTGGTCCTGTGAAGTGCAGTTCTGACAGCTGTGTGGGTAAGAGGCTCCAACAGATCAAGACTGAAGGAAAAAGACAGAGTGACCACCCTCTGAGGCTTTTGAGAGAGACTTCAAACCTTGGTGAAACAGTCGCTGCCTGACGGAAAAGCCATGATTCTTAACCGCCAGCCACGTCCATCTGTTTTTTATGAATGGAGCCTACTCTGTTGTTGTATCCCACCCCCTTGTTATTGTTTTATGGCACCATCTCACATTCCAAAGTGCCTCGTTATTATTTATTATTCCGTTAGCTTTGCGTTAGAGCTGAGGAGCTCCATTCATGGCCCTGTTGTACTAGGCACGGTTCACACAGATAAGAAAGAGATGCTCCCTGCTCCCAACGACCTTATGGTACAAGGACTTGTCTCTATGGATAGTTAGTATGCGGCAAAGTAGTCTACAGCGCCGTAGCCTGCTGAGCACTAAGTTGCCATGTTGGACCATGTGACTGTGGACTAGAAGTTGTGAGTGTGCCTGAACCTACCGCTGCATACAGATTTCAAGTGATGGAGACTCCACCACATCCCTAGGTCAGTTCTTCCAATGGTTAATCACCCGGACTCGGAAAAATTAGCTCCTTATTTCTAGTGTGAATTCGTCAAGCTGCACCGAGAGTCACTCTAGTGATAAGAAAGGTACTATTTACAGGCACATTGCCTAAGAATATTTATCACATATGGAGGCATGGGTGGCGGGTGGCCTGCTGGGAGTAGGGTGGCTAATGCTGGGGGTGGGGGCCACGTGCAGCCTGCCCAATGCTCTGGGCCTGGCGGGGGTGCATGCTACCTGGTGCTCTGGGGGCTGGCGGCTGCAAGGGGGGGGCATTGAGGAGGGATCTCAGGCGGAAGGGGTGGGCCAGGGGCTAGCCGCCCTGAGCCTGTGGTTCACCCCCCACCCATGTATGGAGGGGAAGGGTGGTCTCCAGGCTATAGGGAAGGGACAGGAATGTTGGTGTAGCTGTGTTGGTCCCAGGATATGAGAGAGAGAGAAGATCAGTGAAAGGGACAAGCTTTCGAGAGCCACAGGCCTTGAAGAAGAGCTCTGTTGAGCTCAAAAGTTTGTCTCTTTCACCCACAGAAGTTGGTCCAATAATAGATATCACCTCACCCACCTTGACTGCATGATAGTACGCCCAGTACATAGTACGTACCATAGCAAGATACCTGCCAGAGTACCAGGGCCGGCTCCAGCCGCTTTTGCTGCCCCAAGCAGCAAAAAAAAAACAAAACAAAAAACCTTGCTGCCAAACACGGAGGCGGAGTGATGGTGCGACCGCCGAATTGCTGCCGGTGACCGAAGAAGAGTCGTGTCCCCGCCGCCGAATTGCCGCCAAGCGCGAAATGTGCTGTGACAGAGCAGCCGCCAAATTCCCGCCGCCACGGTGGGCGGATTGCCGCCCCAGAGCCCGACCTCCTGCCGCCCCTTTACATTTGCCGCCCCAGGCACCTGCTTGGTTCGCTGGTGCCTGGAGCTGGCCCTGCGGAGTACCAAAGTTTGAGATGTAAGAACACCAATTTTACGGATATTCCAGTGTTCCATCGCAGCTCCGCTTTCATACTCAAACCGTAATCAATGACTGCAAGTGGAGTAAAAAATGATACTGTTAGAGAGATATTCCAGAGATAGTACAGGTTTCTGAAGGAACTAAAGGGTTAATTACCTTGTAGTGTATGCAGTCTATGGCAGCTGCTCGAGTCCTGTTGGCTAGAAGGGTCTGGAATCACACAAAGGTGAAATGTGTGGAAGTCTGACTCTGGTGACCAAGGCAGGTGTGTGCTGAGATCCATTTTGGAGCTGACAGAAAAAACTGTCTCGGGCTGGTTTGGTCTCTCGCATTCATTGGTAACCTTTTATTTTCTTGGTGAAAACCAAACATTTTGCTTGAGAAATCCCAGTGAGTACTTTGTGATCGATAATGCATACCAGATTTCAATACCTGAGCATTTATACAGGACGCCAATGTCCCAGGCAGAGTAAAACGAGTTGGCTTGCTCCAGAAATTCACCATTCCCCACTGTTTTGCTGACTACCACCACCTGTATTATTTCTGAGGTCATGCAGCACGTCTGCTGGACAGACTGATGTCTGTACAGCTGACTGTTTGCATATCAATTCTAGAGTCAGAGGAAATTCTTCAAATCCCACGGCACGAATGTGTACAGCTACCGCAAAGCAGGCAGAGTTGTGCCAAGTTACAGCCTCTCTGTCTCTCCTCTGTCGCTACCCGTATAACAAATGCCCTGTAAAGAAAACTGGAAAATATTTCAAGAAGGAACAACGATAACACAAGATTATCTGCCAAAGGATGGAATTTAATATTCATGGCTTTCCTCTAGCCTCTGTATTTCCTGTTTCTAACTTAACCCTCTGCAATCACCAAAGACCAGTGATACGCTTATAATTTTCATTTCTAAAAGGCCCCTCCCCTGAGATCTCAAAGCAATGTTAGTGTATTAGGGAGGCAGAGACATATTATCCCCATTTTGCAGGTAAGTGCCTTGCTTACCTTCAGTGCATCAACTCACTCAAGCTCCTTGCATGGCAGGAGCTTGGGCCCAGATCCTAAAGATATTTTGGTGTCTGACTCCCATTGAAATCCATGGGAGTTAGGTGCCTACTTATCTTTAAAGATCTAGGCCTTGGCTACTGTCCCTTCTCCTGTTTCCTTCTTCCGACAAAATGAGACACACCCACCCACCCAGCATCCCCTTCACCAAGTGCTGGGAGAAGCCCCTTCCCCTAATGGATAAGCCCATTCTGCCAGCCTCCCAACTCCCCTCATCATTCTAACTCCAGGCTTCGTTCACAGCTGCCAATTTAACCAAACGGCTTTATTAAAGAGAGAGTACGGAGGGGTGCTTTGAAAAGTGACCTCAGTGAGCACCCAGCTGTGCCAAGCTTCCTCACACCAGCGATGCCCCCTTTCAGTGGGGAAGAGGGAGTCCAAGTATTAATCAGCATGAGAATACAGCCTTCAAAGAGAATTCATACACCTATGGAGGGCTGCAATTGCCAGAGCAGCTAAGGCTTTCCTCTGTAGCTGCTGCAGGTGTTCATATATGTCAGAGAGCTGCCTTCCATTGCTATCCATCTCTCCCCCTTTTCTGGTTTCCCACCAGGACATCTTTCCCTGGCAAAGTACTTCAATACATGGACACTACGAACGGTGGCTGAAAAAGGGATTAATTAGAGCTGCAAATTAAATTCTGTATAAGCATGGAGCCCATGGTTTGTGCTACTGAAACTGCCTGCAAAAAAAGTCATCTAGGCACAGATCAGTGCAAACAAAAGAGGCCCATTACTCACCACTGGCTTCGTGTTCATACCTTTCGGCCTGTCTGCCCTTTTGGAAACCAGGCTGCTCTGACTCCTAGCTGCTGGCAGAGGATGGTGAGTAGAGCTAGTCCAAAAATTTTCTGTCAAAATGTTTTATTTTTTGGCCAGAAAATCAGTTTTTCATCTAAATGGAAAGTTTTGTGGGAAATGTTGGTTTTTGCTGATATTTTTTGGCTTTCATCAAAATCTGAAAACCTGAAAACTGAGGAGTTTTAGTTGAAAACTGGGAAAAAAAATTGGTTTGGAGCCAATATTTTTTTCCAGTTTTTGGTTGCTAGAAACTGAAACATTTTTGGTTTGGGGGTTCTTGGCAAGTCCCCCCCCCAGAATTCAAAGAAATTTAGACAAAAACAAAAATGTATGCATCAAAATTGTTTGCAAATAAAAAACAAAACAAAAAACATTTCCCAACCAGCTGTAATGGGAAGATTGGGAAAAAACCTTTTTTTATTTTTAATGCTGTAGATGTAAGTTTAACCAGGAAGAATTCAGCAGTTCCCAGTGACTTTCACATGCAGATGATGGACTTGTGACATAGACATGATTCTCCTCTAACCTACACTGAAGTGAGTGATGTAACAGGGGCATCAAGGGAGAATCAGGCCCAGTAGAAACTGAAAAATTACATGAGATTATTTTCAGATAGGGTTTGATTATCAATGATTATTAGGGAATTAGACCTTGATTCTGGAAAGCATCACTATTTAGGGCAACCACTAAGCACTTGCTTAATTTTAAACTAATCCCATCTGGAAATCTGAGGACTAGAGATAGATTTGAAATAATCTCCTACTCTGCCCAGATTTAGACTCCTCCACAATTTGGGGAATTTCAGGTGTAGAAATGGATTACAATTTGACGTGCACACTGGCCTCCTTCTCAACAATGTGGCACAGAATCAGGGAAGCCCAGAAGTTTTGGAGAGTTCAAGTCTGGGCCAGATCCTGGTTGCTCAGATCTGTTTCTACTCACAAACATATAAAGGGAATCAGGCTGCTTATGCTTCTA